GGCTGGACAGTGGTGGCAGAATCTGATTCCTGTGATTCTGAAACCGATTTTAAGCCTGATAATAGCTCAGCATGTTAGTATAGAATATTTTAACATTGCACATAGGTACTGAACTTTGTTTTTAAAGGTCCAACCTCTTCAATTTAGGAGATGTACATTGTGACGGATTGCTTTTGTCTGATTTTCACTTTCAGCTGACCCCAGAGCTGCCTGAGGTCAGAAAGTTTTCCATGATCCGTTTTTGATCCTGAATTGACAGGCTTGGAAACAGGTGAATGAACTGTACCTTCCTCCTGGGCCTGGAAGATGACTGATCGACGTCAGCCCGTTACTGCCCTGTTAGTGTGCTGCGGCAACCTGCTACATGTGAAGATTTGCTGTGATGTTTTTACTAGCTTCTGTGGGCTTCTGGGAACTATGCTCTCCCTCTGTGAACTACCTGCATCCTTCTCAGTTGAAGGGGCCAGAGTGGCTGATGATGTGGGAATGCATCAAGGGGTCTCTTCCCTGTTGCCTTTCTATAGCAACACAGGTGCCTGGCCCCCAGCATCTAGGCTGTCGATGTATGAGGTCAGGGAAGAACACTTAGCATCCTCTTCAAGTGATGGGCTTATTGGTAAATATTTATTGAATCATGGTAGAGGCAGACTTAGAAACCAGCTCAGAACTTGGCCTTTATATGCCTCTGCTCCTGGAGGTAGAATTATTCTCAGAGTGAGAGAGGGCGCTGGACCAAAGCTTCCTGAGGACTTGAATACATTTTACCTGCTCTCTTGTACCAAATCAGTCACCACTGCGGTACCTGAATACAGATGAAAAGCTTTAGGAGGCCTTAGGTAGGGTAGGACTCGGAACCATTCCCCTTTCCCAAGCCAAAAAGCATTCCTGGGGACACACACAACATCAGGGGATTGTTAACAGTGGGTAAGATTTTATCTAGGTGGAGACTTTGGGAAAGGTGTCACAGGCACTTATATTTACTTGGCATCTATCACCAAAGACAACTGTTATATGTAAGA